AGGAATGAATGAGAGAATCCCACCCACCGTCCCCCCAACACATACAAAAGTGAGGGTGTATGGAAGCCCCCAAGGTAGTCAAAAGGACTGGAGACCCACGACTCAGCCCTAAGATTTATTCCATCACTCCAGGTCTGGACAGCCTCCCCCTTCACCTCCAGGCACCAAGAAACAACCCCCTTCCAGCCCTTGCTGGTCCAGTGAGGCACCAAATGCCCTCTCGCAGGACTCAGGAGTGGGGCGAGAATAAAGGAGACAACAGCCCCTCAAAGCCAATTTTGCCCCCAAGAGCCCTTCAAGGGCTCATACCCCAGCCCAAAGAACCCAGGGCAGACTGCTGCTTCAGCTGGGTGAGGGGGCTGGGACATCAGAAATGGTCCCCTTCTCTTTAGGGGTGGGGGAGCAAGCCCAGGGCCCTGCAGCTCCCTCTCCCCCTGCAGCACTCTCTGACCAGAACCTTGTCGCCGCCCCCAGCGCATTCCCACCCCAGCACAAGCCCCCTCCTACTGATTTCCCAGTCTCCCTCTCTCATCACCCCCAGCCTTCCCCCGCAAGCTTCCGCTCCTCTCCCTCAGACCCTCATCTCTCCACCAGCACAGACCATCTCTGCCTCAGCACCCTGGCACCTTCCCCTTTGCTCCCTCCCAGTAACCTCCTCTCCCCTTGGCTCCCATCCCCGGGAAAGCCTGGTCCTCAGTGGGTGCCCCCAGAAGGAAGCCCTTGGCCTGGCCCTGCTCCTCCCCTCTCCACTTCTCTCCTCTCTCCTCGCCGGCCCCCTCTCCTCCTCTTCCCACGAAGCTCAGTTCTCGCTGGTTTCTCCCCTTTAGACCCTCCACAGCACAACAGCCCCTCTGGCCCAGCGCTGCTTCCAGCACAGACTAGGGACCCCCTTTAGCCCTCTGAACGCCCCTCCCTCCCTCCCCATCCCTTCCCCCAATGACCCTCCCCTCCCACCCCCTCCCTTCGCCCCAGCTCAGGGCCAGTGCCCCTTCCACAGAGAGCCTCCGACCCCTAAAGCCCCCCACCAGCGGCTTCCCCTCCTTGCTGTCACCCAGCTAGCCCTCTCAGCGCGGCGCCCGCGCCCCCCATTCATCCTTCCTGCCTCCCCCGCCCCCTCCGATCCGCTCCCCTCACCCGATTCGGCTCCCAGCCCCCGCCTGTCTCCGCCGCAGCCCCCCCTCCTGTACCTGGGTCTGGGGGCGCCAGGAGCCGGAGGGTGGGGATCAGAGCTGAGGGCCGCCGCGTCTCCGGCGGGTGGCAGAGCCAGGAACAGCAGTATCCGCCGCCTCGCGCCTCTCTCGCTCCCCGCCGCGTCCCCGCCCGCCCGCCGGCCCCGCCGCGGTGCCTCTCCGAGGAGGATGCTCCGCGAGTCAGGGCGGCTGCTCCCGCCGCCGCATCCCTGCAACACCGACTGACGGCAGCATCAGCACCAGGGCCCGCCCCCCAGGCGTGTGCATTGGACCGCGCTGCGCTAACGGACGAGCGGCGCAGCCAATGGGAAGGCGCAGAAGCCGCCAGTCCCGCGGCTCCACAGGCCCACCTCCCTCCCCCGCGCGGGACCCGGGCGTCCCGGCCCCGGGGCTCTCGCGCTCTCCGCCGCCTCTCCAGTCCGTAGCCCGGGCGCCCGGGCCACCAACCAGGCCGACCACCAACCCAGCCTCAAGGTCTTTTCCGGGAACTCAGGCGCCCTAGCCCGTCGCCCTTTGGGTTGGGCCCTTGGGTCCCGCACCCACCCTCCGGACGACGGATCTGTGTGGCAGCGCCCAGGGCTGGGACGAGCCGAAGGAGAGGCTGTGGAGCCGGACTTGGGGCACCGCGGGAGCAGGACTGGCGCGGGGCCGGGGCCGCAGCGCCCTCTGCTGGCTACGCCCTGGGGCGGACCGGGTCTGCGAGGAGCTTAGGGAAGCGGGACCTGGTCCACAGCTGCCTGCCAGGGGGCTTTTTCCACCCGGTAGCCTGGCCCCCCTCCCACCGCCTGGGGGCCCCCTAGCTTGGAACCCCCAGAACTGAGGAGGGAGGGGCTTTGCTGGGATAAGCACAGAGGTAGGGCGGATAGGGAGAGAAGGGGTCAGGGTAGACCTAGGAGCTTGGGGTTTCCCAGTCCTGCGTGGAGCCCTGGGCTGGGGTGGGAGTAGGTTTGGGAGCGAGATTGCGGCTTCACATGCCTGGTCACTGAGGGAAACTGGCAGCAGCCCCCTTCTCTGCTCTCCTCCCCCAACCTATGAGTTTCAGAGTTAGTGTGGTACTGGGGTGTAGGTCTTCCCTGTAGGGGCGTCTGCATCACTGTGCATGTGATGAGTGGGGGGGGAGGGAGACACCTCTTCACTCAGCCAATAAAAGGTGGACCTGGCACCTACTGTGTGTACCACAAAGTTGGACACTGGGCTTCTGAATCAGGCAGCGTGTGTGTGTGTGTGTGTGTGTGTGTGTGTGTGTGTGTGTGTGTACACCAGACCATTCTGCCAGCTCACTCCAGGACCCTAATTTCTGTTGCAGGGTCTGTGATCTGCACAGCTGGTGGTAGCTGGCACTTCCTTAGCCAGAGGCAACAGGCAGGAACACGCACATTCAACCATTAATGCATGCACATGGGGACACGGAGCCATGCATACCTATCCGTGAACAGGAGGCATTCTCAAAGAGACACACAGGGGCGCCTGCAGAAATGCCCCACCATGGTAAGACACCCACAGGAAGCACATACTTGCCCAAGAACACACACACACACACACACACACACACACACACAGACACACACACTTGTACATACAGGTACCTACATACTCGGAAATGAATATATGCCCAGGGAACAGGTGCACACAGGGGACCTGCCCAAGGGGTCATCCTCCCCCCTGAAGAAGTTTGCACAGAGTGGTCAATTACTGAATGGATGACTGTGGACGACCACCACCAGAGGGAACCTCCCTCCCCAGCCTGTGAGAGGGACCCAGGAAGGGCTGTTTCCTAGGGGTTAGGAAGGGCAATCCCTGAGCCAGGTCCCAGACTTAGGGCCCACTCTGACCTTGAAGAGACCCTCAGGTCATCCTGACAAAGGCCACTGAAGGAGCCAGAGAATGGGAACTGCTGAGTCAGGGCCTATGGATGTGAAATCACCTCTCTCGCCCCACAGCCCACTGCCCCACCCATTCCCCACTGCTCCTCTTCCTGCAGCTTCCTCAGACTCACACATAATCTCTCACACACACACCTGTCCATCCAGGCACCAGGGCATACATGGACAGACAGGGGCAGTGACTGGGATTAACTCTCAGACCCTTATAGGTAAGCCTGGGCAGGGAGGGAGGTAAGGGTGAGCACTTGTCTCCTGTCCCCATCCTTAGCTTTGCCCATCAAGGGCAGAAAAGGTCACCTGGCAGCTGCTGCACCTCCCTGCTCCTCCCACCTACAGGGATGTCTCTCCACAAGGTCCTCCATGCAGTTGGGACCTACCACCTCAAGACACACCCCACATACACATACAGGCACCCACCCAATGTGGACACTTGAGTGATATGCTGAGCACACGCCCTTCTCCCATACACACAGGCCAGTGGGGACACACGGGGGAGAGGAAATGCAGTGGATACAGCATGCATATCCATGCACACACATGCACGCACACACACACACAGAATGTGAAGCTCAGACATATGCAACCATGAAAAGACAGGCACACATCACATCCCAGTTGGGGCAGAACTGGGCACACATATGCATATGCACACACACACACACATACACAGGGAAGAGTCCAGGCTGGAGCTGAGGGGTGGTGGGAAGGGGAGCCGACCAGGCTGCAGGGATGGAGGCAGTGCAGGAGGCGGGTGGCGCAGGAGCGAGCTGCTCTTCACAACACAATCGCCGTCTGTTGTTATAGCAACTCAGCCCCCAAATCGTGAAACGGATATTACAGCCTCAAGAGGGGGAAGGGCTGGAGGGGGCTGAGGACAGAAGGAGGAGCAGGGGGGCACTCAACAGGGGACAGGGCTGGGGGGGGCCCAACAGGGGGCAGTCCTGAGCTGTTGGAAGGGAAAAGAGGGTGATGCAAAATAAGGACTAAGCCAGGGTGAGTGGGATCTCAAAGGTGGAGATGGACCTGAGGTGGGGGGACCCTGGAGGGGCGCTGGGGCATTCACGGGGGAGCTGAGGCCATTGCCATGTCCACAGATATTGTGCTTTGGACTTGGGAGTGCTCAAGTCTCCATCCCCAAGACAATCCCACAGCTGCTGTAGGACGCCCCCAGTTTGGGGGGCTGTGGAGGTAGCTTGCACTCTCAGGGATGCTGTCTGGAGCCTCCTGACCCCAGGGGCAGCCTGGCCCAGCTTCAGAAGCTTTAGGAAACTCCCAGACCAGCTTTAGAAGTGGCCTCAGCCTTCTTCAGGTAGCGGTGACCCCCAAAACCTCTGTGCTGCAAGCTTGGGAGGGAAGAGCTGGGTTGGGAGAGGCTGCCGGAGGCTGAGAGCAGGATCAATATGCATTTCCTCTGGAAGTCACTGTCCTTCCGGCTGGCAGCAGTACCAGGCCGCTGGAAGGCTGCAAGGCCAAGGAGTGCAGCCCCCATCCTGAGGCACGTCCAGCAGGGGCCTATGACTGCCCAGTCCCTCTCTCCCTCCCTTCCCCTATAGCCAGCACTCTGGGCTGCCCCCTCCCTCCCAGGACTCCAGCACCCCTTTGCCGGAGGTGTCCAAGCAGGAGCTGAAAGGCCACCTGTCAAGCAAAGGAATTTTGTCTGTGGGCTGAAAGCTGAAGGTTATACATGACCACTGGGCCCAGCAATTCTGGGGTGCAAAGATGCTCTAGTTTCAAGTTTTAGATCCCCAAGATTCTGGACTCTTCAAGATTCTTATGTTCCAAGGTTTTTGAGTTCTAAGGTTCTATCCCCAAGGTTCCAGACACATGAGATTCCAGACCTCCCAAGTTTCTCCAGCTACAAAGCTCTAGATCCTAAGATTGTAGTCCTTGTAATACAGCCCCCCAGGATTCTAGGCTCTGATGATCCAGGTTAATTATACGGGCCTTTTTATTCCATCTGGAAAATACAAATATTCACAAGAGTCTGTACAACCTTAGGGACACCAGCCCAGGCCCTATCCTTAGCCGCATGCTACCCTCATGCCCGCCCCCAGCCCCAGCCTCCTGCCCCAGCACCCCCAGGCTCCCTGCTCTGGTCCAAGTGTTTTCTCCAAGGCAGGAATGAATCCTTGATCCAGTCACAGCTGGGAAAAGAAAAACAGAGGTTGTGAGGAGTCACTCCCCGGCCTGGCCTGTGTCATTTGGACAGAGCACCGATCTCCCTAATACCCTCCACCCCACCCCAGCCCTAAGTGGGGAGGCTCCGCTGGCTGTGGGAGGACTCACCATTGATTACAAGTGGATGTCAAACACCCCATCTTCCACCGTCTGCACCTCCTCCTCACGGATCTCTGCTGGGAGGGGGGGTTGTCACAGAACCCACTCCAGGGTCCCTGTGACCTCGGCAGCCCTTCCCCCCATCACAGGAGGCACCCGCCCCATCCCAGAAGCAGACCCATCCACCAAAAATCAATTCCCTGAATGACCTAATGGCCCAATATTTGAGGCTCTTTTTCTAAGTTTTCATTTTGCTGCAGCTTTTTCACAGCCACAGATTTGTCCGGTGCAGTTTGCTGTGTGTACTTCACATTTTAGATCCCCGCACTTCTGGAAGGCTCGATGCAAATGGTTTTATCTCTTCTATTTTTGAGGACTTTGCCCTTTGCCTGCCTCTATTTTTTTAGGACTTATACCAAGCCAAATGGTTGTGGTCAACTGTCTTAGACCCCAGTTTAACATAGTTGCTCAGACTGTTCTCAGCAAAATAATCATTTGGCCAATTGTCACTCAGCAAACTGACCTAAAGCCACCAGAGACCCCAAGAGAGCCACGAGGAGATTACTAGGGCCGGGACTTTTCTCAGGACAGCCTCTAGAGCAGCCAAAAAGGGAAATGCAGGCAAGTGGCTCATATAACACCTTCTCCGATCCTTTGTCAATCCCTCTAACAAAGTAAGAGTGTGCCTGGAATCTTAAGGCCTCTTACACTTTAGACATCTTTATAAATTAGGGTCCCTCCTCAGCCTGAGAAGGTCAAGGGCTCCCTGGCCACCTTCTGGCACCCTTACCTGTCCAACACTTTCTTATTGTCCCATGAGCATAAGAAAATGATGAACTCTGGAATGGTTTCCATCCTGCATGAGTTAATACTTTGCCACCATGGCCCTGGATCCCTCCCTCCCAAGGCCTGTGCAAATAAGACTTACCTGGAGGCCGGGAGCCTCGCCTGCCAGGGCGGGGCAGGGAGAAGCTGAAGGCGCGATGATGATGGTGGGTGTGTGTGGGTGAGGGTGAGGGTGCAGACCCCTCAAGACTCACACTCTGGGCCCGGCGCCGGCACTCCACGGACAGGCGGTCCTTGCACTGCTTGTGGCAGTTCACACCACAGGCTGGGGGAGGGCAAATGGGGAGCCCAGCCAGGGCCATGGGTCAGAATCCCCTCCATCCCTTCAGGCAGGTCTGCACCTCTCCCCAGGTTTCTTTGCACCCGAGCAGTTGCCCCACCAAAATAAGAATCTCCTTCCAAAGTGCTCTCTTCATCCTAAATGCCAGTCTATGCCCTTTCCAACATTCTCTGTCCCGGCAGCTGCCTCACCAAAATAAACATCCTCTTAAAGGCTACCCTTTCACATCAATCAGCATGCCTCTCTGGTTCCCAGGGACTCCACTGCTTGGCAATTGCCCCACCAAAATAAGAATCCCCGCCCTAATAGTAACTCTCCCAAAATCACTGCCCAGCAGCCCTGCCATTCATTCCGTCTCACCTCGGCATTTCAGGCCCTGCTTGTAGATGCCCAGGATCTGCAATAGAGGAAGGGGCCGTGCTGGGGAGGGAGGGATTTAGAGGTGATGACTCTCCCTCTCCTTTCTTGAGGGCAGGGACTGGGGTCTTAGAGCCGCCTCAGGGACAGGGACAGACCACAGCAAGAAGAGAGGCAGGTGGAATTAACCAGGTTTGCCTCGGCTGAGAAGGCTCTGGCAGGGGCGGGGCCAGAAGGGGCGGGGCATGGGTGGGATGGAGTCAGGGCTGGAAGGGAGTGGCTTGGGCGGCGAGCAGGTAGGGGGCGCTCACCAGGGCTTTGCAGTGGCGGCAGGCGACCGGGCGCAAGGAGTTGCTCTCCTGAAAGTTGTGTACGAAGCCCATGCGGCCGCCCAGCACAGAGCTGGAGCGCAAGAAGTAGGAGACCATCTCCTCCCTGCTGATGCAGCCATCCCTGCAGGGGGGTCGGGGTGGGTGCTTCAGCTCGAGCCCTCCCAGGACTGCCCACCACTGGCCTAGCTCATCCCTCTCGGAAACCCCTACCAAATAAAAGGTCCTCACTGGACTTCAGACTCCTGGTGCAGGGAAGGGAAAGCACTGGCAGTTGTAGTAGCTGCCATCAACTGGTGTGTGGTCTTGGGCAAGTCACTTTCCCTGGGTTTCCTTCTCAGAACAATGGGGATCATATTCCTGCCCTGATCACTTCACACTTGGTGTGCAAAGTTAAAGGGCTGTGCACTTTCCTGTGGAATCACCAGCCTCAGGTTCCCAAAGTGTGCTCTGCACACCAGTCAGGAGCCCTGAGAATTAAGAGCTCTCTAGGGAGTTCTGGGCCAGATGAGATCAGGGAAAGCTGTATCCCTCTCACTCTCGCATAATCCTGCTGGAAAGACGCCTGCAATCTAGGGTTCCCCACATAACCCGGGGCTTCCAGCAGAACCCTTTTCTTCCCTTATATCTTAGAGCATGTGTTCTGGACACAGACCTCAGTTCAAATCCCAGCGCTACTTCCCTGTCATGTGACCTGTGGCTAGTGAATCTCCCTGTGCCTCAGTTTCTTTATCTATAAATGGGCATAATGAGAATTCCTATACCTCATAGGATTTTTATGAGGATTCAATGAGAAAATGCACGTGGCGTGCTTACAACAGTGTCCATGCAGGTCATGGATCCTCAGCCACTAGGTCTGGCCCTCGTTTGGGACTCCCACCCACTGTATTTGGGGGTCCATAATAGATCCAGGTGGCCCTTCAAATCAATGGCACATTGGGACAACTGGCCATTGAGAAAAAGATACAAATCTAGATGCCTACCTCATACTGTACATGAAAACTAAATTCTCACTGAATTGAGAACACTAATGTAAAAAATAAAAATCATAAATGCACCTGAAAAGATACGAGACTAATTTTGTAATCTGGAGGGGCTGAGGGCCTTTTACACATAACACAAATCCAAGAAGCCATAAGGAAAAGACTGACATATCAAACACACAGAATTTTTTAAATTTTATATGGAAAAAGACAACATAAATGACAAACAGGGAGAAAATATTTGCAAACATATTCAACAGCAAAGAGTTAACATCCATTAACAGATATTCTAGAAATCAATGAGAAAAAGACCAACGAACCCAGTAGAATAATGGACAAGGAATATGAACAGGCAATTAACAGAAGAAATGTAAGTGGCCAATAAACATATAAAAAGATCTCCTATCCCCATTACTATTAAAAGAATGCAAATTTAACCAAGATACCATTTGCCAATGAGACTGACAAAATTGTAAAGCTTTTTATAGCATCCACTGTTGGCAAGGAAGTTGGGAAGCAGACACTTGTACACTGCTGATGGGCGTGCAAACTGCTATAACCTTGTCTGAGGTCAGTTTGGCAGCCTCTCTCCTAATTTAGAATGTGCATATCTCTTGATCCAATTATCCCACTTCTAGGAATTTCTCCTACAGAAATACTGGCCTGAGTGTATCAAGTAAAAGGATGCTCACAGCAGCATGGTGTATAATAATAGTGAAAAACAGGAACAGTCTACATGTCTATCAGCAGGAGAACGGTTAGGAAAATGATGGGCCAGCCATACAGTGGAATACTCTGCAGCTGTTCTAAAGAATAAGGTAGTTCTACATGAATCCACAGGGAAAGATGTCTGTGATAAAGGGTTAAGTGGAAAGTAAACACAAAAGCAAAAAAAGCAAGGCATGCAGTTCTGTCAAGACAGTGATTAAAAAAGAAAAAGAAAAGCAAAGAAAACAAGAAAAAAGAAAACCCCACTGCTACAAATACCTAGATGCTGGTTAAAAATATATCAAAAATTGCTTTAAATGCACAGGTGATTTTGCAAGAAAGAAATGGAAACTGCCAAGTTCCAGAAACAAAGAGGGGTTTCATGATGAAGCAGTGAGCTGGGCAGATCCCGGGAGGGAGCTGCTGGTCTCCTTCTTGGTGCTGGGTTTTAATACCCAACCAAAGGCCAGGCGCACAGCCTGGGGCCTACATGAGGCAGAGAGTTAAGGCTGAGACCCCTCCATGAAGCTGGGGTCTCCAAAGTCTCAAAGGGCTGCACCCTCACTGAAAAGGTGGCCTGGAAAAAAATCCACCCACCAACCCAGGGAAATAACATGGAACTCGAATACCTTTGCCTCAACTCTGGGAGAAACAACAAAGCAACCACAACAAAAGCCACAAGCAGAACTGGATTTATACTATAATCAGGTTTGTCTGTGAAACAGACACCAAACACGCAAAATGTCTATCGGTTTGCACGTGCATAGGGAAAAAAACTGGAAGGGTACACATATTGCCAAAGCATTAACATTGTTAACAATGTTTAATCATGGTAACCTCTACTGGTAGGAGAGGAGGGAGGGAACTTTCACTTCTTTCTTTAAGCACTTTGTTCATTATAAATTTATTTGACTAGCTGTTTTTGTTTTTTTTTCCGCCATGGATTTTTGTAACCTGGACATAAAAAACAATAGATTCTTGGCCGGGCGCGGTGGCTCATGCCTGTAATCCTAGCACTCTGAGAGGCCGAGGCGGGCGGATTGTTTGAGCTCAGGAGTTCGAGACCAGCCTGAGCAAGAGCGAGACCTTGTCTTTACTAAAAATAGAAAGAAATTAATCGGACAACTAAAACTATATAGAAAAAATTAGCCGGGCACGGTGGTGTGTGCCTGTAGTCCCAGCTACTCGGGAGGCTGAGGCAGTAGGATCGCTTGAGCCCAGGAGTGTGAGGTTGCTGTGAGCTAGGCTGACGCCACGGCACTCACGCTCTAGCCAGGGCAACAAAGTGAGACTCTGTCTCAAAAAAAAAAAAAAAAAAATAGGTTCTTGAAATCCAGGTAACATTAAAAAATAAATTGACCTGGGATGGACTGTAAATTTTGATTGGGGTTTCGTCTGCTCAGCAAAAATGGGGCATGAACATGGTTGCAGGGGGCATGTTTAACCTACTTCAGAGAACCAGCTGTTTTTCCAAATTGTCAGCATATGAATTGTTGATAAGCAAGTGGGTGCTGCTAATTACAGGCATTTCTTATCTATTCATTAAAACAGGCTACCCAGGAGCTCGACTTGCCCACACTTTTTGCCAGCTGTGAGCTCCACAAATAAAACAGCACTTACATAGCAATAGTCCCCAGGCCATGGTCTTTGCAAGATTCAGGTGGAGCCCCCCATCTGTCTGAATTAGTGAGGTAACATTGCGCCTCCACAGCTGGTAGCCTCCCCTCCCCAAAAAAGCAAGAGGCCCTCCCCATGTGGGTAGCTTCCCCGGCCAAGATCGTCTGGTTCAATGGCCTGGTATTGCACATGAGGAACCCAAAGCCTGGGGGAAGTGGGCCAGGCTGCCTTCCCTCTGCCCCAGTCCCCCAGTCCTCCTCACTGGTTCTGGTCGAGGTCCCCAAAGGCGCTGAGGTAAGGGAAGTTCCCACGGATGATCTGGAACTCTTCCTGTGAGATGTGGCCATCCCCATCGACGTCAAAGTTCCGGAACACAGACTGGGGCGCACAGAGGGACATACGGGGGTGGGAGAGGGAGAATAAAAGGAACGTCGGGACCCGTCCCTTTTCACGTTCCCAGTCCGTGTTAGGAAGGATGTCTCAGAGAGGCTCCCCCACTCCACCACGGGGACCTTAGTCCCGTGCAGCCAGCCTGCTGTACCGTGTGCCTCCTGGGGACTGAGCACTGGTCCTTGAACATGGCACTAGTGCTGGCTCCCAGGCAGTGCTCTGGCCACCCAGCCTTTACTGACCACTGCTTCTGTTGGTGGCCGTTCCCCCACCGTGCAGGCTGCAGGAGTCTCACCTCCACCATCTTCTCGATGTGCTCCACCACAAGGGCCTGGTCCAGCTTGGGCTTAGCAGCTGAGGTCCACTCCTCCAGCACAGGGGGCCGGGGAGGTGGTGTGCAGCTTGTGGGGCTGGTTGGCTGTGGGAACAATCAGGCCTGAGCTAGGGCCAGAAGTGGAGGGAGCCCAGAGCCCAGGGGACCAGAGCGGGGAATCTCGGGGAAGAAGGGGGCCTGCCCAAGGCTACTTCCCCGCCCTGATGTTGCCTCTGTCCAATAAGAAGTAAGGGCGAGGTAAGTAGCTTCTAAGAGCTCTTCTTGTCCTCATATCCTGGGATTCTCAGGTGGGCCAAGTGAGGAAGTGGGAAGGCCCTCCCTCACCGAGGACTTGGAGCGCGGCTCCCGCTGCAGGGACAGCTGGTACAGCTCATCCTCCGTCTGATACTGATCCAGAGACACCTGCAACACACAGGTCTGATCACACCCACTGGCCCCTACTGTTCACAGGAGCCCATGGCCCAGAGTCCAGAGCCCAGTTCAGAAGCCAGACTCAGGACAAAGCCTGGCTGAGAACTCACCCCAGCAACCCCACGCTGGCCTGGCACATAGACCAAACCACAGCTTGGCCCCAAATCTTGAACACAAGGCACTGCCAAGATATCAGCCAAGAAGCCAGGTCAGAATCCAGCCTCGAGCTCTGAGATTCACCTAGAATCCAGCTCAGATTTCAACCCTGATCCTGTCCAAAGCCCAGAAGCACCTAAGAACTCCACTCCAAACCCAAAACCTAAGTTCCAGCCAATGTCTAGAACCTTATCTATAACTAAATGAGAACCCAACTACCACCATAGACCCCCAAACCAAGTTCAAGGCCAAGCCCAAAACTTCACTCAGAGCCCAGGACCATGTTTAGAAACCATCCCTGCCCGCAGAATCCAGAGCTTGGCCCCAACCCTTAAACACAACCCACTGCCAGGAACTCAACCCAGGACTCAGGCCCAGCCTCAAACACAGCACACAATCCACGTGCCAGCCTCAAGATCAGACCCTATCTCAGCATTCACTCCAAACCCTAGAGCTCAGGTTAGATCTGAGCTCCTTGACCAGAACCCCAAACCCAAGGCCAAGGCCAAGGCCATAGCCAGGACCGATGGAGCTATCAAGCCCTGGTGCCTGGCCCCTCAGCCTGCCTGCCCCCAGCCCCTCACCGTGAGCAGGCTCAGCAGGTCAGGGTTGGCTTGCACCGGTGGCCGCAGGCTGGTCACCATGGCCAGCTCTTCCAGGATGCTAAAGAGCTGCTTCATCTTGGCCCCATTGAGCTGGGTCCTGGCAGGGTCCAGCCAGTCAGGTAGCGCCAGCTGCAGGGCCACCAGATCCTTAAGGTGCACACCCAGGATGGGGAAGCGGAAGCCCACGCAGGCTGCCAGCCGGCGCCGGTAGTTGCCATAGTTGCCCGTGGCTGTCACTAGTTCCATCAGACCTTCCCAGAGCTGGGGGAGGGGGGAGGCAGAGGGTCACACATACACGCCCCACTCAACCATCCTCCCCACCTCGGCCCTGGAAACGTGGAAGCAGAGGAAGAGGAGTCAGAGTGAGGGATAGATGAAAGAGTAAAATCCTCCCATACTCTCCCCCAGCAGCAGTTCTCTCAGCCCCTGGAGGTCAGAGTTCATAGGTCATGAGTTCAAGGCAACACCCACTGCCAAACACACCACTAGACCTAGGCACAGGTTTTCATCAACATTTAACAGAAAAAGAAACCAAGGCTCAGGGAGGCAAGGCAGCACAGGGCAATGACCTAGAAGAATGTTCCTAGCTGCATTGTCCATTCATAACAGCAAAAACTGGAGAAGCCCCAAATGTTCAACAATAGAATAGATACATAAAGTGGGATAGACTCACAATAAAATACTATATGGCAATGAAATAAATGAACAATTGCTCCACATAACAGAATGAAAAGAATCTCACACCACGTGAAATGAAAGAAGCAAGATATAAAATAACGTATGACATGATTCCATTCATTTAAAAACAGGCCAAAAAAAAACCCACATTGTTTTGGGATGCATAGGTAAGTGGTAAAGCTGTAAAGAAAGCCAAAGTCATCATCACAGAAGGCAGCCATCAGGTACCTCTGGTGGGAGGGAGTTACGCTCTAAGGTGCTGGGAGCTTCGGGGGGCTGGCGATTTCCTACTTCTTCACGTGGGTAGCGGTTACACAGGCATTTTCTTTATAATTTTTCTTTACACCATTAATATGTTTTATATACTCTTCTATATGTATATTACCCAATATGTTAAAAAAGGAGAAGGAGAAAAAGTGTAAGCTTCGGGGTGAGACAGACCTGTGAGCCCCCACTCTGCCATTTCCACTGTGCGACCTGGGAAAAGCACTTAACCCCTCCGAGCCTCAGTTTTCTTATCTGTCAAGTGAGGACAGTCGTGCCAGCCCCCAGCGCTGCTGGCAGGACACAGTGAGGCCAGACCTGGGAAGCATTGGCCAGTCCCCTGTGGCAGGCACCTTGATGGTCTCAGGGCTGACGTGGCTGTGGGTCTCCTTGAGGCGGGAGATGGAACTGTGGCTCAGGCCCCCGATCACCGCCATCAGCGTGTTGAAGTTCTGCAGCCGCAGCAGCTTCTGGGAGGCAAATGGGGAGGGGGAGGCAGTGAGTCACCAAGTGGGCCCAAAACTTAGCCCAGCCTTTCTGGAGAGAGGCAGTGGGTTTGTGGAAAGGAGGGCTCGGCCAGACTGACAAATGGGGAGGTCAAGGGTGCGGAGAGGGGCAAGCACCTCTGCCACGTGGACGAAGTGGGTGATGACCAGGGCCCGTTGCGGGGCTGTGGGCTTGCTGAGGATCATGAGCTGCACCCACTGCGAAACACTGTTGAAGAGGGAGATGAATCGCTCCAGGACAGGGTTGTCCACGGTGCAGCCGTGAGTAACAAAACTGTGATAGTCCTGGAACTGGGACGGGTGGGAGTGGCCTCAGCGCCTTGCCAGCCTCTCCCCTCGTGGATGGCCACTCCTCAACCTCCAGCTGTCCTTTGATGGTTACACTGTAACCCCAAGCCCACACTGTGACCCAGCCTACCCCAGGGACCTTACCCCTCTTGAGACCCCCTTATAACCCACACCAGACCCCTGGTCCCAAGCCCTCGGGCCACACCAGGATCTTGCAGAAGGAGCGATACTCCAAGTAGGTGAGATGCTCCGCCAGCTCCAAGGGGTCCAGGTGGTCAAACAACAGGGACATCTTGCGCTTTTTCTGTTCCACAGGGTTCCGCTGGGTCACCTGCCGCTTCCACTTGTAGGTGGGGCTGGGGGAGCAGGGGTAGTGAGCCCTTTGCTGGAGATGTCCCATGCCTTGTGGCCCCGCACTCACGCAGACACGCCACTCAAGCTGACTGAAGACCTCCACAATGCGCGGTACTGTCCTAGACACTAATGACCCCAGTCCCAGCAACTCCTCCATATCTCCCACCCCCGTCATGCACTCAACACACGTTTATGGACAACGTACTCTGTGCCAGGCACTGTGCTAGGCGCTGGGTATACAGAGATGAGTAAGACACGGTTCCTGCCCTCGAGGAGCTCACAGTCTACTAAGGGAGACAGACACAGAAACACACAATCACAAAACAGCGTGACACATGTGCAGAGGTCTTTGTACAGGAGTCTGTACAAAATGCCATGGGAGAACAGAGGAGGGAACAACAAATTCTGCTCTGGAAGAGCTCCGAACCCTCAGAGCCCAGACTTCACACTTGAGCCAAGTCTTGGTAACATGGAGGAGGAGGCAAGGGGAACATTATGAGCAGACACCACGGTGGGAAAGGATGCAGTGGCTCAGACAATGGAGAGTGGACCCACGTAGCTGCAGCATGAGGTGTGGGGGATGGGCGGTGGGCTGTGGGAGATGGACAGGAAGGCCAAGCTGATGTCAGACTACCAAAGGCCTTAATGCTCAGATGAAGGTGACAGGGAGCCATGGAAGATTTTTAAGCAAGAGAGTGACATGACCCTCATTCATTCAATTCAACAGACATTTATTAAGCACAGATGGTGGAGGATGCTGAGTGCCCCCTAGCCCTCTGAGCTCCCCCCACGCACACGCTCTCGATGTCAATGAGGCTGCTGTGCCGGCGGTTCCCTTCTTGGTCTAGCAGAGCCTTCAGCTCCTTGATCTGCTCAGCCAGCTCCGGGTTCAAGTCAAACTCCGCTGGGAAAGCTGAGATCCAGTACCTAGTGGAGGGGCAGAGTCATCCGAGGCAGCCTCCCCCATCCCCTAGTGGGTTACCCAAGGAACTAATTAGCACCACAGTCCCCCAAAGAGGGGCAAAGAGCCTCAAACTGTGATTCTCCCTCTCCCAGCTCTTTCCTTCTCCAAGTTACAGAAGACCCTGAGACAACCAGCCCCACTGGGCAGATGAGAAAACTAAACTTCAAACCTACACCACCGAACTCCTAGAATAGCGCTCTGTCCACACCTTTGGGTTCTCCTGAAGCCTGGGAGAACGGAGCAAGAGGAGAGGCCCAAGCCCGAGGAGGAAGACTCACCTGACCAGGTGGCACGTTTTCACCTGCAGTGAATTGGAGTTGTCCTTCCGGGATTGTTGGTAAGTGAAGGAGAGTCAAGGAAAGCAAGAACAGCGCCTAACTCTAGAACCTCTAGAACGAGAGGCAGCGGATGGGGCTGAGTTCCGAGGGCGGGGCCTGGGGGCTGTGCCTGGCTCCACGGGGCGGGGGGGGGGGGCGGGGGGGGAGGGAGCTCGCCGGAGGCGGGGCCTGCGCTCTGGGAGGATGCGTGGGGAGTGAGGCATGAGCTTTGCGGGGGTTGTATGGGGGCTGGGGGTGGGGCTAGGTTCTGGGGGAGGCTGAGAGCAGAGCCTAGGCTCTGGTGACAGGAGAAGCAAGAGGCGGGACCTGGACGGGGTCTTAGACTCTAGGGGGGCTGAGGGAAGGCCTAGGCTGGGGAGAGTCGGGGGCAGGGCCTGAGTGACTAGGGCGCAAGGGTGGAGCTTAGGTCCCAGAGGGAGGCCGGGCAAAGCCTGAATTCTGGGATACAGAACCGGCCTACGCTTAGGGGCAAAGCTCACTCTCCGCCTGGGCTGGGCAGCGGGGGCTCGCTGGTGGACCCCAACGGCAGCGGCCTTGGCGAGGCTTGCGAAGGATATATATGGAGCAGTTTTGCTGCCAGCTGAGAGGAGGGGATGTACCAGGGGTGCATCATGAGGAACATGCGCACCAGCTGCGGGTCCCGCACCTTCCCGGAGTCATCTAACTCGGAACAGTCAAAGAGAGGCGGGCTGACGCTGGGTCCCGCAGCCTCAGGCCCTAGACCCTGCCCCGCAGCCCAGCCCGCTGGGCATCAGTCCCTCCAACCCCACTCCCGACCCCGCCCACCTCCCCGTTTACCCAGGACTGCAAAACCAGGAGACAAACTAGAAAGGAAAGGTAGGGTGGGAGTGGGAGAGGGCCTGCCCTGAGGAGCTGGAGGAGGGGAGCGCCTGAGCCAGCCCATAGTCCGGAGGGGAACCAGCTGGGGCGGAAGGAGCCTGGGTTCCCTGGGGTCAAGAATCCAGAGGTCATTTCCTGAGTGCTTGGGGGAAGGGGCACCCTTCACCAGATAAGCCGTCCCCCATCAGCCGGAAACAGCTCCCAGGCCGGAGATAGCGAGTTCCTCCGGATCCCCTGGGAGACAGATAGTGCCCCTCCCGTGTCAGAGCCTGGGACCCCGGCCCTCCCATCACAGCCGGCTCGGGAAGGCTGGGGAAGGGAAACATTTCATATGTCTGAAGCTCATGCGTCTCTGCCCTGTGGTGAAAAGGAGGTTTTCGTTAAAGAGGCTGCACGATGCGGAGCTGGGTGGGTCCGGACCAGGGGTCTGCTCTGGGAGGCAGGGGCCCCCCCGAGCCACTCACCGAAGGCTTCGATGCAGCCGCGGAGCAGCTCCTCCACCGTGCAGCCCTTGTCCAGGTCCAGGGTGCCCGCCATGGCCGCCAGCGCGGGTGGGCTGGGCCCAAGCTGCGTTCCGGGAGCCTCCCAGAGCCTCCCACCGGGTTAGCACCGAAGCCCTGTCCGGGAAAGACAGCCGGAGTCTGCGGAGGCGCGGGCCGGGGGAGCGGCCCCACGGGTAGGAACGGGGCGGGGCGGGCACGCCCCCTGCTGGACAGGGGAGGAGTTGTCCGCTGCAGCCACTCCCGGGGTTAAACGGTCTGGCACTGGATGGTGCAACCCGCTAGTTGGGAAACCGACCAGCCGAGAGGCTTCCGGCCCACCCTAAGGAGTCGCGGGAGGGCCGAGGGGCTCCACGGCGATGGGGACGAGCCAGGACTCCAGGGGCTAGCTGGTGCCCCAGGCCCCCGCAGGCCCCCTTCTCCTCGCGCCCTCTCCTGAGGCACCTGCAGCACCCCGCAGCTCAGCTCTGCGCCTCGCCCGCTTCCCTCCCTCCTCAGCCTCCCTTCCCCCGCAGGGTTATTTTGGGAACCCAGAGCCTGAGGGGACCTCGGAGGAATTTCTCCCTGAGTTGGGAAGGGGGGGAGGAGAGAACCCAGGCGTCCTGCCCGCCTCGCCTCCTCCAGGGCGCCCGGGAAGGGAAGGCGGGGCTGTGGCGGTCCCCAGGGGCCTGCACTTGGAGAGGCGGGCTGAAGAGGAGAGGAACATTCCTGGGGCAGGGGTGGGGGGCCGCTGCGGCCCGGAGGCGTCAGCTGGAAGCCTGAGCCTGGGAACTGAGCGCTCCCAGGCCACCTCCGTGAAGGTCCCAGGGGTCCCGGCTCGGCTCTTCCACAGACCATCTTTCTCCTTAGCCCCCGCTCCTGACCCAGGGCCCCCCTCTTGCACAAGCGAACTGTAAGGGCACGCCGAGTAGGGTGCCCAGAAGGGGGCGCTAGCGTAGTGAGGGGTGACCAGTGCATGCATGACACAACTCTGGTCACTGGCGGGGTCATATGCGCCATGCAGGGACAGACACCATTCCATACCCAAGTTATTCACCGGAGGCCAGGCGGCTGCACTGAGGTGCAAGATGTCCCGCTCATCCACACCGGGGCCACAGGCACTCGCCTCCCATCCTCCCGCTCACACACAATGGCACCCACACCCGTGCACACCTGCTCGGAGGAACCCTCAGGCACACACACCCAGTTCCTCTACCCCAGAATGCAAACCCGTGGACGAGGTCGCCTCCCGGACCTGCTGTTCACTTGAGCCAGGCCAATCTCGAGTCCTGCCTCCACAGCAGCGCTGACATCGGCACACGTGTGCACACACCCAAGACAGTGCATCTCCACGCATGTACACTCTCCCACACACATGCACACACCCCCGTTGGTGCGCACACGCCCATTCCTCCGCCCCCCACTTCAACCGCTCTGCAGGGCCTGCCCTGCGGCCCCAGCGCCCTGACTCCCCTAACTCCCAGACCCTGGCAGAGTCGCCCCACGGAAAGGTACCTCGCCCCCACATACTCCCCCAGGCTGTGGGTGGGGGTCCTCTACGGAGTTCTCAGGCGGACTTTTCCTATGAGCCACCTAAAGCCATCCCCGCCTGGCTCTGCTGCTTCCTCGCCGTGTGACCTTGAGAATTACTTGGCCTCTCGAGCCTCAATTTTCTCATCTGTCAAATGGGGGTTCGCAGGGGAGGGCCCCACTGAGGTGTGGCTGGGAAGAGCTTGGTGCGCCGCGGATGCCCCCCTCCCGCGGGTAGTCCAGAGCGCCTCAGCTTTCGCGGCAGCTCCCTCCTATCCGCGACCCGGGCCACAGACTACCCACCCATCCGCCTCCCCGAGCCCGCCCGCGCCGTCCTGGGGGAGCCCAGGGGGCCGCGCCCTCCACTGCCTGGCACCCGGCCAGCGCTCGCTCGCTC